GTGCTGGCCCGCGGGGAGGGCGGGATCCCAGTGGATCCGGGGGGGTGCTGGGACCCTGGGAGGACCCGGATCCCCATGGATCCTGGGGGTTGCAGGCCTGCGGGTGGACGGTGATCCCGATGGATCCCGGGGGGTGCTGGGCCCACGGGAGGATGGGATCCCAGTGGATCCTGGGGGGTGCTGGGCCCACGGGAGGACTGGGATCCCGATGGATCCCGAGGGGTGCTGGGACCCCGGGAGGACCGTGATCCCGATGGATCCCGGGTGGTACCGGGCCCACAGGAGGTTGGTGATCCCGATGGATGCCAGGGATTTCAGGCTCATGAGAGGACAGTGATCCTGATGGATCCTGGGGGGTTCCAGGCCCACGGGAGGACCGGGATCCCAATGGATCCCAGGGGTTCCAGGTCTACAGGTGGATGGTGATTCCAATGGATCCCGGGTGGTACCGGGCCCACGGGAGGGCCGGGATCCCGATGGATTCTAAGGGGTGCTGGGACCCTGGGAGGACCGGCATCCCAGTCGATCCCAGGGGTTGCAGGCCTACGGGTGGACGGTGATCCCGATGGATCCCGGGGGGTGCTGGGCCCATGGGAGGACTGGGGTCCTGATGGATCCCAGGGGGTGCCGGGCCCATGGGAGGGCCGGGATCCCAATGGACCCTGAGAGGCGCTGGGACCCCACGAGGATGGTGATCCCGATGGATCCCAGGGGCCCCAGGTCTATGGGTGGACAGTGATCCCGATGGATCCTGGGGGATACTGGACCCACGGGAGGGCCGGGGTCCTGATGGATCCAGGGAGGTGCTGGGACCCCGGGAGGACCAGGATCCCAATGGATCCCGGGGGTTCCAGGTCTACGGGTGGACCGGGATCCCAGTGGATCCTGGGGGGGTACTGGGCCCATGGGTAGATGGGATCCTGATGGATTCTAGGGGGTGCTGGGACCCCAGGAGGACCGGGATCCCAATGGATCCTGGGGGTTGCAGGCCTACGGGTGGACGGTGATCCCGATGGATCCCGGGTGGTACTGGGCCCACGGGAGGTCGGTGATCCCGATGGATCCCAGGGGTTCCAGGCCCATAGGAGGACCGGGGTCCTGATGGATCCCAGGGGGTGCTGGGCCCACGGGAGGGCCGGCATCCCAATGGATCCCAGGGGTTGCAGGCCCATGGGAGGACAGTGATCCCGATGGATCCTGGGGGTACTGGCCCATGGGAGGGCCAGGATCCCGATGGATCCTGGGGGGGTGCTGGGACGCCGGGAGGACCAGGATCCCAATGGATCCCAGGGGTTCAAGGCCCATGGGAGGACCCGGATCTCAATGGATCCCGGGGGATACTGGACCCACGGGAGGGCCGGGGTCCTGATGGATCCCGGGGGATACTGGACCCCGGGAGGACCAGGATCCCGATGGATCCCGGGGGGTGCCAGGCCCATGGGAGGGCCGGGATCCCTGGACAATCCCTGGCAGTCTTGGCAGCGGAGC